CACTGACCCCAACCCCATGAAAGTCAGCATAGTTAAAATACAAAACAGGACAACGTAAAAAGAGTTTTAAAATCTTATCTTCCCTTGATGCAGCGAGATTTTTGTTAAGTCAATGATCTTACCCACAACAGGATCAGAGGTGGTGAAGATGGAATGCTGCTGGGGCTGGGCAGAGGGTCGGCTCATTGCGGCCGAAGCAGGTCGAGCAGCCAGAGTGCGTCCTTGAAGTGGGAGGGGATGGATGATGTATTAGTAAGTGTTTTACAGCACTTGCAACACAATTAGGTCACGTAAGTGCCAAAGTTGAGAGATGTTACAAGAGAGTAACAAACACAAAAAAGAAGGAGGAGAGATAAGGACAATAGATGTTTGACAGGAAAGAAGGAGCACACCACATCAGAGCACCCGCCAACCCCTCATGGGGATGGATGAGGTTAGTATATACCCATCACAAACACTACAATATTACTTAAATCAGGGGAATGATAACCATCAACATGACAAGCACCTTGAATAGATGTTGACAAAGAATAAGTTCACATATGTAAACTGATTATATTTACTATGCCACCATATATACACCAAATGTAGGCTATATTGTAAACACCGATTCGTTTTTATAAAAGGGTCTTACAGTAATATGAGCATAATAGGACAAAAAACAAACTGAAAAAAAATCAGATATCCTGTGACATTTTTTTTAAAACCTGAACATAAAATTAGCTGGGTGAATACAAAAAATGTTACAGCTTGTAAATTCAGAGTTTCAACCCATAGGCAATCTCTTTCAATACAATGCGTTCTGCATTCCCTTGTACATCAAGATGTGGAAAATTGTGCCATTCCATAGTGTACCCAGTACTTCAACATGGCATTGACAGGGTTACAGACTGTAACAAACAGTACATTTTCATCTCAAAACGAATATTCATATTACTGACTACATGGACTAGTTGTCAATATAAAGAACCACACCAGAATCTCAAATTTTATTATGATATGCTGTTACATTAAACACACAGTTCAAAGTACATTTACAGAATAATCTGCATTAACTAGGTTTTGAAATTAAGGTAAATTAACCTTATCTTTTGAATTTTAACAGAAGTAAGAGGAAAAAAATAATAAAAACTAGAAAATATTTCATCTTGCTTCAAAGGAGCAGAAAAGATTTTTCTATAAAAGAAAAGTATACGTTCCAAAGACCAACACATCTACAAAAATGAAGAAAGATAAGAGTGTTGAATAATCTGAAACCTTCAAGCTTAAAAAGAAACTCATTCTAGTTATTTTGAAAGATGCCTTCCTTAACGAGTTGATAACCTTCATTCTCTTATATTACATTTAAAATACTGCACAAAGCATACTTTCTAAATAGTTTTTTTTTCTTCTTCAACCCGAAGAAAATCTTGAGTCTTATACTCTTGATCTGAGAATCAAAAACATTTAAGCATGAAAAAACTATCTTTTGCAGCCCTTTGAAAAATATACGCTGTACAAGAATCTTTCGTAAATTCCCCAAACTTTCTGAGAAGCGACAACCCTACTTCAAGTTCTCAGAGTACAAAGTGTCAGCAAACTCCACCCTTCTGGTGTCTACCTGGACGGCTCGCCCCACTACTGGAGGCGGAACGTGGGCGAGACAAGCGCTGGGAGTAGATGGACACTGCCGAAGAGTATGAGTGAGCGGAGCCATACGGCTGGGCGGAGCCAGGCCGGGAGGCGAATCCACCTCCACCACCGTCAGTCCGCAGGTCAAAGGTAGATCCACTATGGCCTGGAGGTTTAGAGCAGCAATAGGGAAGGGAAGGGAAGGTGGTGTTAGATAGGCAGGGTGGTTAATGAAGCAGAACACTGGGAAGAGAGGGTGGGGGTAGGAGGATCACTGCATTTATGGAACCTTACAAATGCATTCAAAAGGCTGTTATTACAAAAACATAACACAAATCATTTGCCATAACCCTCATAGCTATTTTCTTATTGGAATTATGATTTGTGATACTAATTTTGCACTACATCCAAGAATAGCTGATCAAATTTTGAACAGCCTGTCAAAAGCTGGAGTAGATGTCTCATTTCACTCCTAAAACACTACAATCCTTATATTCGCTCATCTTTTTTTGTAATGGAACTTTCTGAGAATTCACAGGAGACAAAAGGGAAAAAAAAGATTGAAAAGAAAGATATAAACAGTGCTGAGTACAGTCTCCGCTGACACTGAAGGGTAGGAAGGGGCTCTGATATACATGCACCAATATTCTTTTGAGGTGGAAAATCATGATGAATGAATGAAAAAAAGAAAGATAAGAAAAGAAAACAACAGAGGTATAATCAGACAGGTGCAACCCATCAAACCCCAGCCATTTTCAAATAGGAAAATGACAAAGAACTAGAAAAATAAGTGGGGTGCAATTTTTTTTTAAAGGCATCTGAGCTCGCCACGAAAACCTTTTCAGTGATGTAAAAAAATAATTTTTTTTAAAAGGCAAGGAATAAAGAAGTTTTTTAAAGGTCAATGAAATCTCATCTATTCTCAAATTTAGAGGTATCTTTTCACACTAACTACAGACAACATAAAAGGGTTAGTTAAGAGAACAACTGACTAAAAAGGTACTTATTCTTTCAAATGTTAATGAAAACCTGAAAAAATTAAACTAGCACCTGAACTATAACTATCATAAATCCCTTTATATCCTGATGACAATCTACAAATGACTGTATCCAGTAACAAAGAAATCAAACCGTAGTTCTGACACGTATCAGTTTAAGCACAACAGAATTTTGGCAACGTACACTGGTACATGTCAGTCTCAGCTGCACATTATTACTAGTACAAAAAATATGTCAACATAACATGATATACAAGCTCAGTTAAATCCTTAACCTCAATTCAACAAGTAATAAGAATGAAGCCTTGTCAACATCTGGGAAGGCAAACAGACCTACTTTACCCATTAAAAACCTGCAGTTCAAAAATAAAATTTTCTCTATTTCACTTTCATTGTACTTCACTTAATAATAATAGACAGCATTTGTATAGCGCAAATCCCCGCTCAACAGCAAGCTCTATGCATTTCACAATCTATACTATTACCCCAGCAGACCTGAGAACATTCTGAAACAAACTCAATTTCCTGGGAAACATACAGTGCAAGCAGCCATTTATAGGCACTAAAACACTAACATACTGACAAGATCTTTCGTTGTCTATGGCCGGGTACCCATTTCCACCTGGGTGAAGTGAGGAAAATTTGTGTAAAGTGCCTTTCCTAAGGACACAATGTCGGGCCCACGGCTCGAACCTCCAAACCCGCAACCTCACGATTACAAGTCCAGTAGCCTAACCGCTAGGCCTAACCACTTAATAAACATCTATATTAAAGAGAGCTAAATAACGACAAAGATAGAAAATAATGAACTACTTCCACTAAAGTAGAAACAAAAGAAGCAAAGTCTAAATTTACTACAATCTTGACCATCACATAATTGTGGAATGATGGAAAACAGAAAATATGCTGACAAAGTAAAAGACTGAACAAAAAGTCAGAACCAAACTACACTTACTATCCAGTAAGCAGTTATTATTGGTGGAACCTGAAACTGTCAGACAATATCTTGGTAACACTGCAGTTTAAGAAACAATTGACACTTTCGTGTAAAATTAGTGCCAATAAATAGATTAAGAAAATAAGCAATGCTGAAGAAAGAGTGTAGAAAGAGCAAACCACACCACAGCACACCCACCAACCAACCAAGCCCTGCAGTAAAAAAACAACATAATATGTTTAATAATTATTCATTTCCCTTCCTACCAATACTCAAATAGTCTTACTAGAGCGTCTTCAGAAATTTAAAAAATGTTACAAACTCTTTTTTTTTTGCTTTCCTACCTATCATTGCAAAGCTGAAGTCATTTCAGAAGTGAGAACCATCTGAACTCAAACAAAAAACCCAGTTCGGATGAGTTGCGGTTTACATTTGCTTATGGACATATGTAATGCAACCAAAGTATATATGAAACAGGATATAAATTAGCTTTTCTGATTCTCCTCTTTCCTTCGACCTTGCTATGATATTAAATACCCCCAAGCATGTATCAAAAGTGAGCAAGGCACATAGATGTATTAAAAAATGACACAGACAGAAAAACAGACAAATAGAAAGAAAAAGAAGACAACTTGTTTCACAAAGATTTGGAGATGTTTAAACTTCAAAACATGATGGCATGAAACAAAGAACAGTAGTCTCCGCCTAAACGCACAGTGCTTGGGAGGGCTCCTTAGCATGTGTTTCTACAGAGCATGCGTTGACATAAACCTGTGCAAAAGGAGAAAGGGACGCATCATCTCATTTCCTTGATATTTTATTGACCTCCCTTGGGGAGTGGGGGTCACTTTGGCTAATACTGTGACAAAACGAGACTGTTTTGTGAAGGATTCCATGACTGCAGTTAGTAATTATGAATACAAAGGCATTGAATGGGTGGGGGGAAAGCAGAAAGACGGACTTCCTGTACTGATAGGCAATATAAAATATGGCGGGAACAGATTGGACGAAATCGTTGGTGACAGTCTGGGAAAAGCGTTCAGTCACACGACTTTTCAAGCGACCACTCCTGAGTGCCTGTCATCTATTACAACTCGGTAAATGCATGAGTGATATCAGAATCAGACATTCTGAAAGACTTCTCTTGTGATTCGTTGAACAAGTACGTCATAAATTCTTTGAGCAAACCTGATTACTTGATTAATCTGTAGTCATATAGAGGCCTAACCAGAGTTCTACAGCATTCGCGTGTGTTGTGCATCATAGGCCTAACTAAACAGTACATGCAGTCACCCAAACATCGGTCAGAAACCTTCTCTCAAAGACGCATTTCAAGTGAAAATCAAAAGATATCCCCCCCCCCCTCCAACACACATTATATCACCCGACCAGTCCTAGACCTATGCTTCCTTGGAAAGCTGTGTGCGAAAACCCTGTCCATCGCTCTCTTTGTTCTGAGTGACGGGCAGTCTCACCAAATATCTGGTTGTCTAGGCTTGTCTTATGCAAGCTGTGCAGGTTGTAATGAAAATTTCCTCTTGTCAAGTATTACCTATCGGCGTGTTTTGAGGATCAAAGCGTGAGTTTGGAAGAAGTGACCGTGCATTTGTACGTCTAAATTATATAGTAAAAAAAAAAACTCATACGATGAAAGCGTGCGTTTGAGCGGAGCGTGCCTTTCTATGGCGTGCGTTTAGACAGAGACTAATATATAAACAATATAGCGAAGGAAAACTTTTTTCGATGATATTTCTGTCAGATTACAATTCAAGAAGAAAGAAAATGGGGTCTTACAGAGAGAAAGAAAGGAGAAATAAAAGAGAGAACGGACAGAAAGAAAAGGCAATTCAAAAAGAGGGCAAGAAAACATGCAGGACAGTCATGGCATTGTGAGGTAGAGGAGGAGGTATACAAGATTTCCTTACCGTGCCGTGCCCGGGAGGCATCATCCATGGTACCCACGGGCATGGTCCCGTCTGTGATGTCCGGGTTCTCCCGACGCCGAGACAGCATCTCCCTCTTGGCTTCCGACAAGGTGTTGGCCCCCGGTTTAGGATCCCCACCTAGAAAAATGGCCGCTGATTTGTTGATTTTGGTGTAGGTGGTGAGTACCTCCTCCAGTTCCCCTTCCCTGGAGAAATACGAAGGGATTTTTCTTTTGCTGGTCTTTTCTTCGCAAAGACATTATCAACATCAGAGTGTGGCGTAATTCTTTTTTGCTGTTAATACAAAAAGTAGTTTTGGTATCTTGGATATAACTGTAGATCAACTAGTCAACAAACACAGAAGCAAGTCAGACACAACCCTGTTCCATTTGGCTGTTGTTGTGGATTTGGGAGTTGACACAAAAATTTATGGTAAATGAATGAATTAAGTTATAACAAAAAAATACATCTTTGGGTACAAAATGACTCTATGGACATAAAGTTTCACTTTTGTTGAGAAACAGTCCGTATTTACCCCTACTATTCAGTAAAATTTCCCAAGATGCAAAAATAACAATTACAGCAAATAATACATCATAATGGATCTAAAAAGCTTGTCACTAAAAATTACTATATTTCTGAATCTAAAAGCGAAAGAAGAAAAAAACCCAGCTCTGTCATGACATACAATTCAGATTAACTTACGTGGCAGTGTAGACAAACTGATCAAAATTGTGCTCATCCAGCCCATCAGAACTGTCTGACTTCCTCGTTTTTTTGTTCTCCATCTTGACCCGCACCCTAACAGCTTTCAAGTGATCTGTCTCCTGCAACAACAAAACAACATTCCTTACATAGGAGCAGCTACACCTACATGAAAATTGCCAATATGTATTCATAATCCAAATGAAGGGCACAACTTAAAAAGAACAACAAAAGAGACCAAAAAATATACACAGTAGAAACTACACTTGCAAGCAAAGTAGTATCAAAATGTAAAATCTTTTTCTTTTTCTTTCCGTTCCGCGTGCTAGATTTCAGGGGTAGTCAACTGCTGGTTCTTTAACCCGCAAATCAATTGATTTTTACGTATGTGACTATTTTTCCTACTTTGTAGGGCCCGACGTTGTGTCCTTGGTAAAGCAATTTACACGAGTTTTCCTAAATTCACCCTGGTGAGAATGAGTACCCAGCTCCGGACAGTGAAAGATCTTGTCAGTTTGTTAGTGTTTGAGTGCTTAATCAGCTACTTACACTGTATGCTTCTCGGGAAGCTGAGAATGTTTCGGAGTGTTCTATGGTGTGCTGGGATAATAATATAGCGTTAAGTGCATAGAGCTTGCTGTTGAGCGGGGGTATGCGCTATACAAATACTATTTATTATTATTAAAAGGAAAAGAGCATTGTGCAAAAATAACAAATTAATTTCCCACTCCAAGAGTGGTTAGGCTCTCGGACTCGCAACCGTAAGGTCGTGGGTTCGAATCCCGTCAAGGGCCCGACGTTGTGTCCTTGGGAAAGGCACTTTACATGAATTTTCCCCACTTCACCCAGGTGGGAATGGGTACCCGGCTATAGACAGCGAAAGATCTTGTTAGTCTGTTAGTGTTTGAGCGCTTAATCGGCTGCTTGCACTGTATGCTTCCCGGGAAGCTGAGAATGTTTCGGAGTGTTCTATGGTCTGCTGGGGTAATAATATAGTGTAAAGCGCATAGAGCCTGCTGCTGAGCGGGGACATGCGCTATACAAATGCTATCTATTATTATTATTATTACATGTTTTTCCAAATTTAGTAAGTAAGTCCAGACAACATGACATACCTTATTGTAGATGTGTACAAAGTCGCCTAGCTGCTTGGCTAGAATTCTGCGCCTGTCACCTAAAGGAAGCTTTTTGCTTGGCACAACCACTCTAAATGCTTGAGGTAGATTGATAGCAGCGCGCTTCAGGAACCGTAAGACCAGGTCCTATGAAAGAATTACAAATTCACAATCAAAAGCAAACTGAAGGCAATGTTTTGATTTTTATTCTAAAAAAAATAAATGTTACTTAAAGCAGTAGCATTTACTAAATTTTATTTCACAGGATCACTCAGGGCAACTGAAAAAACATAACGAGTAAAAGAGTAAAAGTATTCCATAAAAATTCACAACCATACTAAAACTTTCCATACCAATATAAGATTATACAGCTGAAATTGTCTAACATGGCCATCCATTGTCGAGGAGAACAGTGTCTGTCTTAGACAGGTGGCCTCTTATACAGAGTCATTATAATGTTTTTAAAATGTAAGGAGGAAATGGCAAGTGGTGTTTGTGCAGGTAATTGACTTATACAGGTGGCCACTAGAGCAGGTCCGACTGTACTTGACTATCTCCCTCGACCTGTGTACTCACCATTTGCTCGTTGAGAGCATCCACATCCTCTTGCCTCAGAATCCCCCCACAGTCAGACAAAAGCCTCTGCTGAACACGGATCAAGTACATGGCAAATGCAGTCCTGGCTTGGACTTTGCTGCAGGCCAAAGAGAGAAAAGAGGAGTCTCTGAATTTGAATTCATCTCTGATCAAACAGGGCCATGAAAACTCCAACAACTCAAGCTCAACAAATATCCTCCCCCCCCCCCCCCCCCCCGGAGATTCAAACTGGTGCAATTCACACTGCAGTCCAACATAATAAAGATCAAACAAAAGATGAGCCTGGCATAGTCAAAAGACTCATGGAATTTAACAAGCTGACTAATGAAATACTAACCAGATGCATAAATAGCAATAGCAGTAATTTTAAGTTTCATATGAAAGACACTTTTTAATTAAGCAAGCCTGTGTGCCATTCATGAACTAAATACTGATAATCTATATTTGAACGAATGATAAAATCAAGCTAACAAGAGAAAAAAAAATATGTCCAACGCTCAGACTATACCTTAGAGCTTGGCCCTTCTCTAAAAGGCCAATGACATCATACTTGGGTTCTGGTGGGGGAGAAGCAGGAGGGGGAGGTATGGACTCTGACTTTGCTTTCGCATCTCCAGCTTCTTTGGCGGCTGCTTCTTTGACTTCTTTGGGGTTCTCTGCTTTCTCATCTTCTTTCTTCTCCGAAGCAGCACTTTCTTTAGCAGCTCCCTTTGCAGACTGAGCTGAGGCTGTTGCAGAGGATGCAGCAGAATCCTTCCCCTCCGATTTCTCTGATGCTGCTGAGAGACAACAAAACGTCTCATCTCAATGCCAAGGAGTGCATCCCCCCTCCCACCCCTTTCACTTTGTCAATATAAAAAACTTCACTTTGCAATAAAAATACTGATAAAAACTAAAGGACTAAAGGAAAGAACAATCATTTTTATCAGCAAGCTCACTGTATGGCATTTATTAAAAAGTCAATCAAACTGAAAACAAGAGACTACAAAAAAACAGTAAAAAGACTCAGAAAAGTACTTACAACATACCCCATTGTGCCATTCAGTTTTAGCCAGGCATTATTTCTTTCATCTGTCCAGCATACACTTTGGTGTAAAAGTCTTGAACAATTACCTTTATAAGAATAATGAAAATGACAAGAACATATTTTCTTCTGACCGACCATAATTTTTTCTCTTTACCTTTCGCCTCTGATTCTTTCTTGTCATCTTTCTCTTTCTTGTCCTTTCCCCTTTCATTAGCTACAGTCTCTTCATCCGACTGATTCTCGGCATTTTCTTCAGAGTCTGGAACTCCTTGCACTAATTTTCCACGCTTGGTGCTTGATTCTGAAATGATTGGAATAACTGTTTCTGAAAAATCTGAATCTTGTTATCTAAATTATAGGAAAATACTACATTACCCATTTCACCTGATCAGCCAGCCTCGAGAGCCTACAACACCAAGCAGTCAGGCTATAAAGGAAGAGGAAGGCCACGCAAAAGGTGGATCGAGGGTGTCAAGGAAACCCAAAGAAAACATAACATCACAACTGAAAGAGCTGCGGAGCTGGCCTACCATAGAAAACTGCATCTCCCCTTGACGCTTAACGGTAACAGAGGATGAAAAAGTAAAAGTAAAAGTAAAGTACTACATTACCCTTGTTTCCTAGTAGAGACATGAATCACTAAATGATATTTTACTGTAGATACCTCCTTAATAATTGAAACTTGATTTGTAAAAGAGATAGGTGTTTGAATAAAAGAAAGTCTGAACAATTTTATTTCATGAAACTGGATTTCATGATACTATTTTGGGCATTAATAGTACAAAAAATAAAACATTTGCTCCGCTCGGTGCCAGTAACTGGTCCATACAAAAGAATGATAATTTGCCACACAAAACAAAATGTAAAAATAGCTTAACATAATCCATACTTTTCCTTTGCTAATAACTGAATCTGATGCAAATATTTTACCTCACACAGGAGAAATATTTCTTCTAACAAAGTGCTGACAAGATGAACCAGCACGCATAGAGACAGAAGACACTCACTTGCAGTGACCGACTGCTTTTTCTTGTGACGGCGTGACTTCCCGCCTTGACCCAGCCGCCTCTCATACTGCTTGGCACGCAGTAGGGCTTGCGCGTACGACTCGATGAATTTCTGGGAAGAGAAGTTCTTTTAACTGCATTGCTGAACCAACATCTCTAGACCAAGTACAGTTCCTAGGGACCCTCACCAAATTGAAACTTCCAACCCATTCGAGAAACTCTTTCAGTAACACATCAGTCTCACACAATCTGACAGCCTTGTCATATCACTACTGTCAAGTCTGACTACCTATTTCCCCTGAATCATTTATCTCTGATTAGAAGAATTCTTTAGAAAACAAGCATAACGAAATACCAAACAACTGAATAAATAGCAATATCAGCAACGTCATATATCTCTGATTAGAAGAATTCTTTAGAAAACAAGCACAATTCAATTACTACTTGATAATATCACAATATAAAACAGTCTTGTAATCTACAGTCACACAGCCTGACTCACCCATCACCTAAACAGACAGGTTTTAAAATACAAAAACAAATTAAGAAAATTGGGGGCATTCATAAACAAGCAAATACCTCCAATTTCAGTTCTGAATTATAACTCTTGGTGATTTTTCACACAATTTTACAGTGGAGGTAGACTTGTTCCACTGTCTTTTGGGAATCAAAGCAATTGATATGTCAGGCTTAGGATGAAATGGGGGAAATGACTATGATGAAAAAAAATTCAAAAGATCCATTTTTATGGATTTTGTGGGCGCCAGCCTTCAGCGTATTTAGCATAAAAGTAGTAGAAAAATAAATCATGCATGCAAGAGATTTACAAAGAAAGCTGAAGTGACTGTACTATTTCTGATAAGTAAAATAATTTCTTTTTAAACTTACAAAACATAAACTATGTTTATGAAGGTCACACTACAAATATCAAAGCTTACCTCTTGCTCTGCCTTTCCTGAGCCTGTCACTTGAAGTTGTATGCCATTTCTAGACGGAAAAAAGATATAATTATGGCAATTATTGTAACATGGAGTGGCTATTCTTTAAAGATCTGGAATATCAAAGTCCCCAGATACATGTGTTAGTATGAAATAAGGCTTCTAATTAGTGGCATAAGACAGCTGTATGTCTCTGATAAGTTAATATGGTAAGATTGCAGGTATCATAAGCAATAAGTGTGTAATCAAGCATAGTGCACAGCAATAGACAATCCCTTCCTTGGAGTAAAGTAGTAGGTAAGGTTTTTTGCAAGGGGGGGGGGGGTATCTATTCGTTTTGCAAGCAACTTCATAGAGTCCGAGTTAACATGTTTATGTGTTCTTTGGATACTAGGTTTTTTATTTGTTTTAATAAATAATGAAAATGAGGAATCCGAGTTTTCATTGAGTCTGAGTCTGAGTGCGTTTAATCCCAGTTTCACTTATTAGAATGAGCTTAATATTTCTCAAGCAACTTTGTATCCCTCAAATCTGAAACTCAAATTCTTCATTTCCCTAAAATTAGTTTTGGACAAAGTCAGACAAACTTAAGATCAAACTCCATCTCTTGCATTTCTTCCTTTCTCGTTCCCTTGCTGGACCTCAGGGGCTGTACTTCAACCTGCATGCAACTGATGTTTACATATGTGACCATTTTTCCCATTTCCTAGGACCCTTTGCCTTCATGTTTAAGGCAGTGACATTCTGATTGTGAAGGCACACTGTATTTTTTACATTGACTATTGAACTTTCAGTTCTGGTAGGAATTAATTTAGAATCTTGTCCAGGTGGCAGCTGAAACCTACTCTTGTTAATTTTAGGATTACCAAGGAATCTTTAGTATACTCAGCTTGCTTACGGAACCTCTGAGATTTTTCATCCCTACTTGAGAGGCTTAGGTGTTTGATCTTACCTTGTCTAAGACCAGGGATGTGGCTGAAAGACAGTCGTAAGGAGAAAATAGGAGCAGTAGAAAGAGTCGGATCTAAGGGGTTACTGTGTTCAACGTCATCTCATTTATCAAACTGTTAGACTTTTTATACATGTGACATCAAAAACAACTTTCACTCACTTTGATCTGGATGGAGTGATCGTGCTAGTTCCAGGGGTCTTGCTTGCAGTCATTGCTTTGTGCCTGCAAAGTATATGTCAATATTAAAAGCCCTGCAAGTGATCATAAGAAGACAAAAATAGAGCTCTCATGTAATATAAAAACCTACAATTCCTAACTTTGTAATGTTCACTAGCGAGAGCTATTTTCCTACTTCACTACTCCTGTCGAAATACTGACATAATACGTTTAACACTTTCTCAGAAACAGTAACATGTTACGATGAAAATACTGACGTGTGCTTTATGTACAATTATTCAAAGGAGAATTTGAGAAGGCACACCAGCATGCTTTCGAGCAATTGTTTGGGATCACAAAGAAAAAAACGGTGTCTATGGGGTAGCAGTAAGGCGCTTTGCTGTCACACGCAGGAGACCCGAGTTCAATTCCAGACACAGGAGAATTTCTATTTGGGTATCTTGGTCTTTTTGCTGGGACGTCGTATCCTTCTCAGCTCGGCTAGGCCATGACAAACTGGGTTGGAAGCCCTCTTCCTAAACAATCTAAACTGTATCGATGGAAACACGACAGCATATTGAACAGGATTCCAAAAGATCAGCAGAAAACTTCTTTTGGTAAGAGTTTTATGGCACCTGCAATTACATATGGTCAAATGAGCGCTGAAAACTAAATAATTCAGAGAACATGAACTTCTTGGCCTGAACCCATCTCTCTTAACCTTCTGCATGCGCATCGTCGGTCGTGATGACTCATACTTTCCTTCCGTGTGCATCGCGACCACCGGTCGTGATTGGACATGAGTGTAGAAACTATACAGCTGACGTAAGAATAACCATTTTTTAAACTGCTGGTGACTACAGTCCACCAGTGCAACGTTTATTAGAGGTGTTGGCTGTACATTTCGCAGTCGGGGATGGGTTTGGGGTTTTTTATCGGCAATTTTCTGGGATATTGTTTAGTTTTCAAACTGTCGGATTTGTCCAAGGATTTAGATACAAATTTGCCCCACATGTTTCTGGAATCGGACGACAGTGATGAAGAGTTTGAAGGATTAGGTCCTCAAATAAAAGATTTACGTGTGAATGATGGGGATAAATTGTAGATCTAGCGAGGTTAAGCCCAGAAGGGGACATTGATATTCCTGCTGATCTCCAAGCAGGCTGGACTTAAAATTACGAGAATTTTGATACCAACAACATCATTTTAAAAAAACAGCTGACCAGACATAAGGGTAGATCATTATTTAAGACACATTTTTCCTGCTTACTGTAATTAGAAATTATGATAAATAAGAAAGATATGAGCTTTTTTTTTATATCCATGTTGAAATTTAGCATTTTTCTAAAATAAACCCAGCACTGAAGGGAAGTAATAGTAAAAATGGCTTAGCGCTAAGAGGGTTAATGTGATTATTATAACTGTAGTATCATCTAACCCTTATGATGGAAATTAACATACCATCCTCGATCCACAAATCGCCTTTTGGCAGCATGAAATAACATGAACACAAATGAATCAATCTTATTCATAGCAAGACTTTCCTACTTATAATTTTTTAATGTACTTCTAAATGAGGTGCATAAAAGTAGAAAGTTTCAAAAGAAATCACCTATTCCAATGGCAAAAGGCAACTGTTATTTCTAATTACAGAAGAAAAGCAAGAACACATTTGTTTTAAAGATCTCTACAAGAGAACTAAACATGAAATCAATTGCAGTGAATATTTTCTTAGAAAAGAGCGTACACACTTTCAATTAACAAAAAGCAAAATATTCTATATCATCAAGTTTTAAGTGAGAGCATATCCACATTTCCAGTTGTTAAAACAATTATTGTTACTTTACTTATTTCAAGCTTGCACGGACGAGCCAAACATAAGATTATGTGGACATATTTGGTCTACCCCTTTATAGGTTTATATCCCCCAACAAAAACAAAAACAACAACAACCAGAGAATGACAGTCAGAAACTGACCTCTCTGGGTAGAGACGCTGGTGGAGCATCAGGTTGTGGGTGGTCTGGAACTGCAAGAAAGACCTGGGGACGCACAAAACAAAAGAATACGGTTTTCAAAAACAAACAAAAAACACACAAAAAAGAACAAAAGAAACCAACTCAAATCCAAAAGAACTTAAAAACAGTGATGTTGTAAAGCAAAAGGCAGGACCCTCAATATTGGAATCTGAGGAACCAAACCATGTTCACTTGCACTGTAGCCCAAATGCGTTAACAGTGTGTGAGCCTCAGCACTTCACGCGCAGAAACTGGGAAGCAAATCTAAGTCATTTCTTTACAAACACCTGCTATGTGTCAACCGTAATAAAAAAAAGTTTACAGGAAGCGGCCACTTCATCAACATTCCAATCAGCCCATCAAATGCATTTGTTTCTGGCCAGCTTCAATCAATAATGACAGACATTCCCAAAACAAATATAATGTTTCTTTAAGTATTGATTTTTTTTTTCATGCTGTTCTGTAACAAGTGACTTTGTGGCGTAATCGACCAGTACATGTACGTCAGTGTGAGTGTGTGTGTGTGTGAGTGTGTGTGTGTGTAAGTTTTTGTGAGTGAGAGAGTCAGAGAGAGAGAGACAGACAGACAGAGAGAGAGAGAGGGAGAAAGAGAGAGAGAGAGAGGGGGGGGGAAGAAAAAAAGAGATGGAAAGAAATAATTGCTATTGGAACCACATGGTGCTCATGTTTTTGTATTATTATAAAGCACATTAAGCACTTTATTAGCAGAAACGTGCTACATAAGCAAAATTTATTATAATTATCAAAGTCCCTATCTCAAGTAAGTTTCGCCCACCCATGAGTGTCCCAGCTATCAGCGGTGGGGAAAATCCTGATCCAGCCCCCTCTCCTCCCCTCCTCCTCCTTGGCCCGTCGTAGAATCTTGATCTCTTCACTGTTCAGGCCAGCCATGCCTTTGCCGGTCTGGCGCTCCTTAGAAGTCGATGTGGCGGCAGACTGTGGCCGGGTCTGAGGGTTATTATACAAGCAGCATTACATACAAGCAACAGAAATGAAAAAGAAGTGTTTTCAGCCTTCATTCTGCTCATCTCGAAGAGGAGCACATCATCACAGTAATGAGCATTAAATATTATAAGGGTGACAGCAAGATGAGAGAAAAACCCTACCCCCACCCCTACCTCCCCTCCACCTCTCCAAAGGAAAAAAATACATGAACACTCCTTACCGATCGCACCCCTCCCCCCTCCCCAACCCACCAAAAGCTACCTTGGCATTGAGGCTTGAAAGCCATCAGCACAAAAGATAGCCCAACTCTGCTCCTCCTCCAAAACAACAAGCCCTCGATATACAGATAACAGATCAAAGTGAAAGGCATCACAAAAAGACTTGGAGCCCAATTAGGCTGAAGATTAAAGGTGTTACTAGAGAGTAACACACAAAGAGCAGAATGCGAAGACATAAGAACGATAGATGTTTGATAGGAAAGAAGGAGCAAACAACAGCAGAGCACCCGCCAACCACTCAAACCTCGATAAGTATAAGGGACATATTAAAGACTTTAATTTGTCGTTTAACTCTATTTTGGGCATGGGCTGTCCAGAATTAATATTCTTAAATTGAAGTAAGTGAAAGTGAAGAACTGTGTGTAAGTGTGTAACATGAAAATAAAATAAAGTGCCCCAACAAATGTTGATTTAAGTTGTCATTAACAAAAGTCAGTCCATCAATGTCACATTACAACAATAGTAACTCTGTGAGGAAGTAGAAGTAGCAGATTACACACCCCCCCCCCCTACCAAAACTTATGATTATATTCCTTAATGGCTATATTTATATAATACATGTCCACTCCCTTTTATCTCCCTGCTGATACAGAATAGCAATTACTATAGGTAATGTCCTAATGATTTTTTAAAAATATGATTGACAAGATGGAGTCATCTTTTACCAAAAAGAAAAAAAGAAAAACAAGAAAGAAAATACACTTTTAAAAAAACAAAGCAAACAAAATTACAGGAGCGCATCCTCAATCTGTCAATCAATTTCAGTAAAACAGAAGACAAGCCTCTTATTTTGAAGTATCACTAACATACAGAGGAGATTTTAAAAAAGCGAAAGCAAAAAAACAAAACAAACACTTTTACTGTTATAGTAGGCTCAATTAGAGACCAGAAAATATTTCTACAAACAGCATAAATAAAGCTGATAAAGCTGAATGACACAGTTTTCAAATACCCACAAGCTTCCAACTTTAAAATAATTGTCATTTAATGATCATACCACAAACAATATCAGAAATTTTCATTAAATCTTCATATCTATAAACCATTGCAGCCAAAAAAGACAGGTTTAATAACTCATTAATTCAGTTTGCACTTCTACAGGCATTCTCCTGCACATAGATTTGTGTATAGATATTTTCTTTTCTGGAAGAGAACGGGCAGGGTGGAGGGGGAAGTGTCATTAAACACGACAATAATAAAGTACTGAAAAGCTGAATGATAACTCATCAACAGGAATACCAACTACTAATTTTATGAGCTACAGTGAACAGTTAGTTTGACAGGGCAAACAGTTTAGAAGAGGGCTGGTGGCAAACTGTAAACAGGTGGAAAACAAAAGTTAAGAATCAGTGGATGAAGAAAACATGGCTGGGACACGTACAAAAATGAATTCATATAAAAATTAAACCAATGAATAAACTAAACTGGCGTTCCATCACCTTGTGTTTTATCAAATGAAGTAAATACTGTTGAGAGACTGACATCAAATCTAAAATTACCCGGCAGCTCAGCGATTGTAAACATATCTTTTTGAGATCACCATCACCTACTTGATAATTATGAAATTGATAGGTATATCAAAGAAAAAGTAAAACCTACTAAAAAGACGTAATTTATTTCCTTAAAAAAAAAAAAAAAATAAAAATCAATACCGGCCCAAATCTTGGAGATTTTCTCACTGGCAGAGAAACACGTTGACCCTGAAGAGTTTACACAAGGTGCATATGAACACTGAAACACACTGCAATACTAGAAGTATACAGAAACAAAATAAATACCACGTCTAACAAATGTAAATGTGGGGCCATCTGAACTTGAATATGATTCAAAATCTAGTTCTGTAATTTTGTTGGCAGAGGGTGCAAAAATATCACACGTAGAAAGACAATGGGGTGAGGAAAATGGAAAGAATTTAGCAAAGAAAGTTCAATGAAAGAGAAGTAGAGATGTGTGTGCTCATGTGAGTGTATAGGAGTGTTTTTATTTAGTTTTACTAAGAGTCTTATGGCACTTGCAACAAAATTAGGTCACATATGTGCCAAGATTAGAGATGTTACTAGAGAGTAAGACACAAAGAAAAGGAGGAGTGATAAGGACGATAGATGTAGGATAAGAAAGTAAGAAGGAGCATACTACAGCAGAGCCCCCGCCAACCACTCACTGAGTGATTTTGTAGGCATGAATGTATGTGTATGTGTAAAAGGTACTACAGTAATAAAACTCAATTCACACAGTGATTTCCCAGTGTCAGTAATGCCTAATAGGTAGTCCTCGTGTAAATCTTCCTGGAGCATAAGAAGTTTACTAGCACAGGAAAGAGGACTAGAACACCAGTACATCTTTACACTCTTGATATTAATTCAAATGGCCCGCTATTAAAAAAATAAGCAAAACCTCATGTAAGAGTACAATTAAGCACAGCAACTAAAATAAAAGTAATAATCAGAAATAAGCTCAATACAAAATATCCACATCAAAAGGCAAAAAGCAGTGCTACACAATAAACTAATGCCTGGATTCTGGAAAAAAGTGTTTTAAGAAAAGCCTGCTATTTTGCGCCTTTTCTTAATATTAGTAACAGATTTTAACGCTGCATCACTCATTGTGCTTACACTTGAAACAGGACAATCGGACTTGCGATTTGGAGTTTCAAAAAAGCTTCTCATCTGTTGTGGAAATGTATAAATCACTGATAAAGAAGGTATTCAGATAAATTGCGCTAAAAAACAACTATCTTTACTTAACTATACAGCTGAACCCGTCAAAGGCCACCATTCATTGTTGAAGAGAAAAATGGTTATCATCGACAGGTGGTTATCTTGGAGAAAAAATGCAAGCAGTGAAGTGGGAAGAGGTCGTTTTTAATTAAAGGCGATTGTCTTGGACAGGAGTGGTCAATATAGCTGGTTCGACTGCACCATAAAGTACGAACAATACGAAACATAACTGACATAAAACCAGAGAATATATTGACACACTTAAGATCATTTAGGGGACAGGCTGATTTGACACTGGTGGTCAGAGCATTAGAATTGAATTTCTTGTCTTCTGCACAGTCTGCACAAAAATGCAGAAGAAACTAAAACCAGACCCATGTAAAGAATGAAACTTTGTAAGAAAATTGATCTTGCTATAAAAGAACAAACAAACAGAAATGTTGGAACCAATGTGAAACTCATGAGGAAGCCAGAATACCTTTTTCAAAAGCCATTCATCAGCTTTCTTCATATTTTGCCTTGCAGCTTCTAATTGAGCATTTGCTTCTGTCATATTTGTATTTTCATCTTTGGGACTCTGTTCACAATCAAACCACATTGGTGTAATGCATCCAAACACAAAGATAATCTTAGCATCAATCATATTTCAGGTAAAACCAAAAATAAACATTAAAATTAACAAGAATTTCATAGTTAAAAAAGACATAAACTCCTCTACTTTGCACATCTGTGAGCATGACAGAACACAAGAAAGGGACAAAAATCACTGCTGTACAAAATGTCAGACTGAAGTATATAATAGGCCATGAATTTTTTCATCAATGAAGACATATTTATACGGTTAGCACTCCAGATTAGGAATAGACATGAAATGAATATATAAAAGACAAGTAGATTGTCAAAAGATTGGAGAATGAAAATCTTTCAGTAAATAGTACCATGTTGAAAAAAAAAAAGAATAAAATAATCCCGTTCCTCAAACCACTCTCCCAACCTCCATTTTTAAAAATCTGCAATTAAAACTTAACAACTAAATCAGTCTTACATGTCTCGGATAAAAGAAATTATGAATCTTTCATGATAGTGGGTTAAAAATAATTGTTCCAACTTTTGTAAACTCTGCAATCCTTTCTTCAAATCATCAAGCCCCAAACATATTACTGTTTTGAAAGCAACAAGAAAAAAAAATATACAGAAGTTGTAGTAAAATTACTCAAAAGCAGTTTTCTTTTCTTTCACTGTAGAGTTACAACCAGCCGCATATTAGAATTAAAAGCTTGTGACAGTGAAGAGACTAAGCATCATGTGTGCAGAAGCAGTGCCGCAAGACATACGTTTTTCACAGCTCCAGAAGACAGTTGGAATGTCAGTTTAGAAATAAAAATTGTTCCATATTTCTTTGATTCTCCTAAAACCCTTGCAAACTAATAATATTTGTTTTAACACCAGTGTCAAGATGTAGAAGCCATCAGTTGAGATGAAGGAGTAAAAAACAAAGGATTCAGCGTTTTGGTGAGACCAAATTACGCGCTGGCCATAAAAGTGCAGATCCCTTAAATATCAAAAGGTGTTTCAAGCTATTCTGAGAGCGATTTTCGAAAGGATTTATTTTCACTAGTGTCAGTTCAACAACATCTAAAATGAAAACGGCAAAAACAACAAAAAATTCACAAACCGTCCAGCCATCTCTACACTCAAAGACAATAGGCTAGCTGATAAACTCTATGAACAAACGAGCAGAGTGTTCTGAGACACAACTGCTCATGTATAACAGAGTCCATTCTTTAAAGTAATGTGGACCATACGGAAAAAAAAATGAAACATGAGTACTCCCAGAGTAATTATTATGATGGTTATTTTATTATTGACACTATTATAAATCTGTTAGAAATTATAAAAGCTCACACTTCCCATATACCTGAACCAAATGTTATATTAAATGAAATTATTAGACATTTGCTCGTTAACCAACAACCCACAATTAAAAGACAGGTATCCATCAAATCTAGGAAAAATTCTCGAGGAAAAATGTGATGAAGTTGCGCCGTTTTTCTCTAGTTGACTAATATAGAAGCCACAAAAAAAATACATTTTCAAATTTTGAGAGAATGGATAACTGCCATTTTCAAATGATAACAGCATCACAACTACTAAGTTTACTTAATAATAGATCTTAGAATTAATTTTTGTCAAATAAAATGAAGCAAGATAAGAAGCTTTAGCGATGACCTGGAGACCTAAGTAATTCCTAGTGCAAAATCGTATCTACAGCTGCCCAGTCGTCTCACGTAAAAAGAAACACACAGTTTGACACTTCATAGGATAAAATACTCAGGTTGTTAGAAGCAATGGTTGGTTGTTCACATCTTTGGTCAGTTATGATACCATCACAGTTATGATACAGATCCACTACATTGATATATATACCCGGTACACACAAAGCGGGCAGTAGCAGCGTTACACATGCAGAGCATGCGGGGGTCACAACTTACCGTCTTGGCCGAAGGAGGCCTTAAACAGGCTGACTGCAAACAGTATAGGTTTCTTCCATTTCAAGTTATTCCACTTAATTCATCATACTCATTGAACAGCTTGTTAAGACAACTCTACTCAGACAATAAACAATTTAGGTCAGAACTACAAGTTGGCAAAGCATGACAATACAATTTGGATAACTGGATGATGGAAAAAAATGCATCATAACCTTTACCCTTTATCAAAAGGTGCTACTTTATAAAACTGTAAAGTAGCAAAGAATCACTTTACACTATTACACTTGATGATGAGGTTGAAAAGAAAGACTTTCTGTCCTACGTTGTAGAAAAGAGAAAGCTGACAGGGAGAAAAAAAAAGACACAACTGAATAGTAATATTCACTGTTTGCGGTGTAAGAAAAAGTTTTTTGTGAAAAATGCCCCAAAAAGCCATCAGTCCCTGACTTAGAGGCAGCAACCTCAACACTAAGAAATCCTATTTTTACAAGTTCTGCTGCAACTTGATACTGGATCAAAGCTCAAGGACCCAACAGTATTAGACTAAAAAACCGCACAAGTCATACTTTGAAGAGAATATTTTAAATAGTATCAAGTCACAAGAAATAATATGCACATCTGCATCACAGATGAATACATGACGGAGGGCAGTAATTGCAGAACTGGCATGCCACACACAGAGTGCAGGTGAAAGGTCAGCAACACTAGGCACAGCTTGAATCACCCAGACAGACTGAACACAAAGACAATATCTACAGCCACACAAATGTGCTTTCAGTAAACTACTGCACAAATCACAGTACACGAAGCATAAAAATATATATGAAAGTCAGAGTAAGCCTATTTTTTTTCAGAATTTTAAATCAGAATTTTCAGTCTCATGAAGGTTACAATCTTTTCTAAAAAGTTAGTCTCTTTAATGCTGAAAACTATATTGACCATAAATCAATAAAAGCATTATCAATAATGCAACTAAAGTACAAATAATTAATTAATGTAATTATTAAATTGCAGTTATCAAAATGTGTTAAAGTCAGGAAATATTTCTTTGTTGTTGGAGTTACAGAAATATTTTGTAAGAAAACGTCTGACTATAAAAACCTGATGAAATTTCTGTTCTTTTTTCCATTCAACTAAGAATAGGTACAAGATTATGTACATGAGTGGAAAAAAAGCATGAGATTAAGGCATTTTTCTGAAGATTTGAAAAACACTACTAAGATCATCTAAAAATATTTATGGCATTAATCTCAGAATAGGTTTTATATACAACATACAAACATTCCAAGCTATGGGCACAGGGATGGCCCGCACAGGAAGAAGATTTAATGGTGGTGTTGTCTCTCTTACCTTGGCCCTGTTGGCCCCCAGCTTGGCTGTCACTTCCTGGTTCCTTTTGCTTGGCTGCATTGTCCGCATCATGGGGTCGTGGCAGATCACACCTAAGAAACAAGTATAACAGATGAGTGCCTTAGTACACAAAACAGCTAATAATGTGGAGAAAAAGAACACAAAAAGGGAACTATATCAATGTTGGTGTAAATTGCATGCACACTAGATGAAGGCACACTAGATGAAGCAATAGGGAAACAGAGACTACAACATGTTTAGGTTTAGAATTTCATCAAAGATGAAAAAAATAGCCTACCCCCCTTTGATAACACTCTATAAAAAAAAACCATTGATGACATAGTGGTTTAGCATTAAGAAAAGAAGGTTTAATGCTTTAACAGATTTACTACACTCTGAGAACACAAGTTTGCTTTTCACTGTCTATGCTTTTTTTTTTCTTTTTGAACTGGTTGGTGCAGAGATCACAGACATAATAACACGTTCATACAAATCTTTTTTAGCTTTTTCAATTTGGAAAAAATATGCAAAAACATATACTGAAACAAGTAGATACTAAGGGAAAATGTGTTACCATGTTTGTGAACAGAGCTAGATTTGAAATTATCCCAGACCACAAACTTATGATTTTGGCAAAGACAAAATTCAAAATTAATAACTTAATTCATTGCCACTTACCTGCAAGACTGAACAGGTCACAGAGCATGTTGCACTTGATTTTCAAGTCAAGAGGACTGTCACTAAAACGAAAAAAAAAAAAGGGAAGGCAATTGGTAAACAGGCCCACCAAGATATCCAAAGTGAGTTCCTGGAGGAGCATAACTGTTTACTGATCAGAGTTTGTCCATAAATAGAAAGAGGTATCTGAAAAAAAAATTTCCCTTTTCTGATATTTGTAATCCACCAATAAGCAAACAAATCTACTCTTTATTCATCACGGCTGAAATCTTCACATTAGACAAAATTTCTACATTTCTACATTCTTTTCGAGAAATCATAAGGAGTTTCTTTGCTGTGATTTTTTACGTTTGCATTTAGTCAAACAGCACAGACTAATGCAAATATGTAAATAGCTTCACTAATCCTTGGTTGGAAAAAGAATTAACCTACACCAAGGTACTTTCCAAACATATTTTTATTTCAAGTCTTGGTTGAAATTGAAAATACTTTTGCACAAAAAAAAAAATTATAGTAATCTACAAAGACTTTCTCTCAACACCCCCCTACCCTGACCAAAGAAATCTTAACCCCCCCCCCCCCCCCCCCCAATCCAATGAAAGCACCTTTATATCAATGCTTTTCTGCTTGGGTTTAAATGTGAATCCCACTCTGCAAGCTATTAACAAAATGTATTCAAGCACTGCAATTCTCTCTCCCATTATATAACTCTGTTATGTTGAATGTGTACACATGATGAACTCTTCAACATCTTGTACCTGTGACAGACAGTGACAACAAAGTGAAATTCCGCTCAACTCACAAGGAAGAAATAGTACTAGTCATCCTAACAACTTACCATGCCAGAGATGGAGACAAGTTCACCTCCAGCACCCACGGTTTTAGATTTTCGTCTAAGAGAATGTCAAAGCCATATAATTCTGGGAAACAAATTAACACATGATGCTGTAAACAATAAAAATATTGGTGTACATAAAAATGATAATGAAGTATGAATAAAAAATTGTTCATTAGAAACTCATGACACCACCTTAAAGAGTTTTAAACTAAAATAAATGAATTTTTTTATTTGATCAAAAACATGAAGCCCCCTCTTCTTTTCTCTCCCACTCTTTTGTAAACATTCAGCTAAGAATAAATGTCTTCACAACTTTACTCATTTAATCTGAATTGACAATGCAGATAAAAATCCTGGCAGTCATAATGCAGTTTCAATTCAGCCCTATTTTAATATTGACGCTCATATGGCCTTATGCAGTTACGAGCGCCGTAAAACCCTCTACTAAACTAAAAACTATTTTAATAAAAATCAAATGTTCTACTCCTAAATATTCTACCTGAGAAAAGTAAAAAACATACCAAAGCAGTTCCCTCGATAAGGCTGGAACATTTTACAGGCAGTGGCAACAGACGATTCCACGGACAGTATGGTTTTGATAACCACATCTTCGATTCGCATCATGAGGGCTGAAATACAAAAAAGGCAAAATCAAAAACTTGATTTGCAATAATGAAGTACAACAGTCCTAGATCATCAGGATAAAATAAGAAATCTCATTATTTATAAAACATTAAATGGCTAAGACAAAGAAAATAATCAAGCTGAGGTCTCAAAAACAGAAACAATGAAACACAATTAGTATTTGTTAACAATTCTGTCTAAAGAAGTTTTACAGATCACAACACCCGAAAAAAAAACCCCACTAAACAGACATAGAAATAACATAAGAGCCTGAATATGAAAACTTGTATTCCTTCATGTATTGACCCAAGTTTTTGCAAAATGTTAGCTCAAACATATTTCAATATCCCGACTATACATACCAGCAGTGTCTTTGCCCTCTGACCGCAAATATCGCAGCATTGCACCCATAGACCATTTATTGCCATAGTCCTCAATATCAGGGTCATCATTCCTGTGAAAAAAATTTTAAACACATAATTCAAAACAAGAAGTTGGTTAGAAATCTATCAACTCAGTGATTGAATTGAAATCATAAAGACAAATACATGTTAAATTCTGAGAATAAGGAAACTCAAGTACAAGTAGGAAATCAAGAAGAGCCAGAAAATCATCCTATGAAATACATCATACTAACCCTGAGGCTATCCAAAATATAAAAAATATTATAATTAAAAACATAATTTTTCCTTAAAACAGACCCCCCCCCCCCCCAAAAGACATAAATTTCTGCAAAACCAAATTTTCTTTTCCCTTCGTGGTTATCTCATATAAGTCATATTCTCACCACTCGAAATCAAGGAAGTAGACAAAAGGAACATTTTTGTATCCTCCCGAGTACTAAATATGAAGGGATAAAGGAACAAAATTTGTGAGATTCTTCAAACGACTTCCAACTTCAACATTTATTATAACCTATTTCTTTTTATTAATAACATATTCTACAAGCCCACACCTTAATTAATCCCTTTGCCTGTTTTGCAACCCAAGCATGATATTCTTCTGAGATATCTGTATGGACTATTCCAGCTTAGACATGAACTTACTTGACATAGTCCTGGCTCCTCTTATTGACGCTGTAGTTTGTCAAGTGCATGCACTGATTCCGAATGTGTTTCACATTCTTCTCATACTTGACAGTGGCAAATCGAGTGATGCCTTCTTCATACAGGTAGATCATAAGCGGATCATAGGAAGTCACAGCTACATAGATACGGATGTCAAACTTGAACCCTGAAAAGACAAACAGCATCACAATACTGTCAACAATGACATCAAGTAATGTGGAAAATATGAACAGCACGGTTTTATTCTATATGATTTTATCGGTACACTGTGACAAGTCGAAAAACATTTTTTAAGCTGATATATGCCTTTCAGCTGTGCACAAATGATCTGACAGATTAGCTTCAAGAAAAAAGATACAAGTGTCTTTGACTGCCTTTGCAAAGAAGAAAAATTTCATTGTCGGCCTTCCCACATGTAATGAACCCATGTACATTTCTGAACTATCAGCAGATTCATTGTAACTCTCTATACACAAAGAAATATCCATTTACCAAAAGTCTAACTACATGTAAGCAGCAAAGAAGAGACTGACCATCAATGACTAGAGGTGTTGCGATGTACTTGCTGACGATAAGGTTTTCATCCAAGGGTACTTGGTCAGGCTGTTGAGGAAGGGGGGAAAAAAAGTCATTCATCATCAACATGATACATGGCCTCTATGCCTTGCCCCTCCCCTCCCAATCCCCCTTTCAAAAAGTTCTTTTCACACAAACAATACCTTTGTACACCCAAGTGCTTTCCCTCAATATATTGGAACTTCTACAAATAGAAGGAAACATAAACATTCAACATTCATTAATACGAGTACTTTTTAAATGCTCAAAAAGAACTTATTTAGTACCTTCATTATGACATCCACAAATAGCTTTGGGACTATATCGTTCAGATTGTACTGTCAAACTAGATTGATCTGAAGGACACCTGCTATGAGTGACTTTTGTCAGATGCAGCCTGCACAATGTTTGTTGAGACAAAACGGTATTTTCTCATTAAAACATTACTTTTGCTACTGGTCTGGGGCTGTCATGTATGGCCTTTTGTCGTTGCACACAGAAGATGTGGATTCAGCTGATTTGTCAGGACATTATCTTACCCAGAATGTCAGACTGTCTGCTCCAAGCTGAATCCTTTTCAGCAGGAATTGGCCCTAACAGGCAGGGTTTGAGCAGCCCACCTACTAAATGACCAAAATTGTGTCCATGGGGCATGAAAAATTTACAATCCAATCTGTTTCAGTGCAACACTGAGCACTGGTGTATATCTGAGGAAATCTGAGTATTTGTCATGGCTGCCATCTTTAACAAACTGCTAGTAGTACCAGAGGCGATATTTACAATTTAAAAACAAAACCCAAAAAAAATGGATGAAAGGAATTTGGTACAAAATCTGGGTTCCATTTGAATAGCAAAGGGCAAAGAGGTAATGTACCAGAGACCTGAACACACAAGGTTGCATGTATCACGATCCTCATATCCCTCCTCTCTTTCAGGGGATTAAAGTTCTGTTATGGTTTCGAGAGTTTGGATAGGCAGAATAAAAAACCTAAAAAAGACCATAAATGTGACTCCAACCCACCAACAACCTACAAAAGGGAAAAAAGTGGTGCTGAATTGTTACTAACACAAACTTGCTTTAGTAAATATTTTACGGCACTGGCAATACAATTAGGTCATATAAATGCTGAAGATTAGAGGTGTTACAAGAGAGTGACAAATACAAAAAAAGGATGAGAGATAAGGACGATTGATGTTTAATAGGAAAGAAAGAGCTAATCACACCAGACCAACCACCCACATACAGACTTGACTACTTCACAAAACTCACATGATTAATGAGAAACACCCCCCTCCCTCGTGATGATGCCACCGGTTTCACAATGTATGGTCCTTTATCCTTGAGAAAACTTGCTGCAAAACAGACATGAAAAAAGATTATGTAAAACATTAGGCTCAATCTATACTTTGGGTAAGTATCAACTATATAAATACATACACATGTGTATATTGACTGCTTAGTGTGAGACTCCCCTCATATGTCGTTTTGAAAAGGGACGCATGATGGGAGTCTTACACTGGGCAAGTTGATTTTGTGTGTGTGTGTGTGTGTGTGTGTGTGTGTGTGTGTGTGTGTGTGTGTATGAGTGTGAGTGTGTGTGTGTGTGTGTGTGTGTATGAGTGTGTGAGTACATGTGTGTGAGAGTGAGTGTGTGTACGTGTGCATCTGTGCCTGTCATGTGTTCATGTGTGTGGAAAGAGAAACAAATGCCCAAAAAAAACCCACAAAGAAAGAGAGAAATAATTATAAATAGACATTCAATGATAGAAGAAAAGGAGATGGGTTTTTTTTTATAGTAGTGGGTTTTACGGCACTCGCAACTGCATACGGTCATATGAGCGCCAAGGGGTGGGTGTCAACAGAGAAGTCTTTACAGGGAATCAGACTTGTTCTGCTCACCTCTCTAGCTTCAACAGCACAAGGTCTGCTTCGACTATCAAGGCACCCCAAAATAACAGGTCACAAGAGAGTGACAAACATACAAAAGAAGTAGAAGAAAATGACAATAGTAAGGATCAGGAAAGAAAAAGCAGCAGTTCCCTGTTGTAGATCAGGCACAGTTATGAGCGTGACATGAGTCAGCCCATTTACAATTCAAATAGGCTTGAACGAGAAATGTCCCCCCTTTGGGAATGGCCTAAAGTCACATCAGTCAGTGGCACTGCCCCAGGAAAAGGAGATAAAAATAGGATGTGAAAACAAAATACAGTGAACAGCATATGATGAACGAAGGGTTAAATAACATACAGTCTTTGTTAATCAATACAAGAAACATGACCAAGAACAGTAAGTTCAGTAATACGAGTACACACATCAGAGACTCACAACAAAAATCTTGATAATCTCCTGGAAGAACAAAACTTGGCGGGATGAAGTCAAAATGTTTGTGTCCCTGGAAACAGAAGAGAAAAAGAATGACAAAACATGTATGGATAAAAGTGAAATTATTATTAATGTTAACACGATAAAACTCCATTAAGAAAATGATTCAAAAACAGAATTGTTTCACTGTAATATGCTAAAGAGTAGCTTCCCCTCATTTCATTTTCTTAACGGCAGCATGTACGTGGTTTTACAGAATTGATGCTACTTTTTTTTCTTAATATATCACAGGTTTTTCTCCTCACTTATCTTTCAAAAGTTTCTTTTTATACATTTTGACAAACTCCCTTAAAGTACCTCCAATCTCTGATTTTTGTTTGTTTGAGTAAACAGTAGGACAACACAATAATGGTCACTTAATGCTGGGAAACAGTAAGACGGACAGACAGAAACAACAGAGGGGAAAGTAAAGAAGTAGGACCTACCAGTGGCGCCTCCAACCACCTGCTCCTTCCTCTGATACTTTGCAACCTGTATATTGGCATCTTTATTACCCACTCACTTCTTTCATTTTAGAATGCATGCAGTTGCTACCTTTGTTTTGATTCTTCTTTACTATTATTTTACTCTGATCATTTTCTGTGTTTCTTTTGCTTCATAATTTTTTTTCTTTATTTCCCTATTTAAAGCATTACATTTCCAAATTTGATTTTGCCTGACTTCTCTCTTCCATTTGCTTTAAAATATCATGAATTATCCATTTATTTGTTTTCCCAAGCCAGATCAGTTCATTTCACAATGAGTCAGTCATAAACAAAAGGTTTACCTTTATTTGCTGCATTCTTTGAACATTCTTGAAAAGCCTATCTTTTCGGGTCAGTTCGTACGACCTGAAAATATAGAAACAAGAATACGAATGAAGCCTAACTGAAAGCTCGGACTAAACATTTGCGACTGCTAAACAGTAAGTATCAAAAGCACTGGGGCAAAAGACAACACTATCTTATCCACAAGTGCTTTACTCCAATACAAAACTTTTTTTTTTCTAAACTGTATTTCAGGTGTAGAAAAATAAAGTTACAAACGTTGGAGTTATTTGAATGAAAATCAGAATTCTCTGTGACTCATTGCTCTCCAACAAGGTGTTTCTCCACTTCCCGCAAAGAGAGTTTTAAAAAAAAAGACAAATGGTTTACTAAATGAGTACACAAGCTGTCAAATGTACATGATGTAAACTTATTGATGAAAGCCGATTAGAAAGGCAAATGTGTAAATGACATTGCTCTCCAACAAGGTGTTTCTCCACTTCCTACAATGAGAGTTTTTTTTTTTAAAACAAAAGGTTTACTAAATGAGTACACAAGCTGTCAAATGTACATGATGTTAACTTATTGCTGGGAGCCGATAAGAAAGACAAATGTGTAAATGACATTATGGCAAGGAAGACCGTAACAAATACCAACAAAGGAATTACCTTGGAAAATGGTTGATTTTCTGAAACTCTGACATAGTTCTCAGTGTGAATGGCTTGAGATGAGAGTTACTCCATATCAAATTGTAATCAGCACTATTCGGATGTACCTGCAGACAAGGCAAGTCAACAAGTTCACAAATATGTGTGGAACAAGCAACACATACTTTATCGTTTTTAAGTAAAATATGAAGAAACAAAGAGACCAAAAAAAATTTGTTTCAGCAAGCTCAAGTTATTTATCAAAATTGTCAATCTTGAAAGGAGCTTCTGTAACGCCACAAAAATGTATGTGAAAAATATACTAAAATGCCATGGCCAACATGAATATGAAAAACATCAAAGAGCTTTCACAATATAACAAGAACCCTACACATTCTATAGTATGCTATAAATTATCTAATCATTTAACTACGAATATGGGAAAGAGTGTACAATTTCTTACAACTTTCAACTGACTTGCTTGATCAAGCCATCCTTCAGAGTGAATACACGATAATATTTTGGTTTTTTCTACATAATTCTCTATGCGTGGTCAGGTCACTACAAAAGACTGTCATTTTGAAACCCAATGGCAGCCCCAATCTGTAATTAACATTCGTTTGATTTAATGTACCTCATGAAATCCATGGCCTGAAAAAATGTTCCGAACAATCTTGCATTCTGTTGAGGCAAACTTGAAAGCTAGGTGATACCGCTCTGTGAAATAGAAAAGAAAGTCTTTCTGAAGAGATATTTATAAAATATGACATGTTATTTAAATGAAACTGATGATAACAGTAAGTCACCTCACCATAGTTCACGACTTTTAAACAATTTTTTTTAGAAACCCATTAAATCTACTGTCATAATTAGGATCAGGGTGTCCACTTTTTAAAAATCCTTCTCGAAGATAAAAAACCTACCACCTACGCCATCAGCATGTAACCAGTCTCTATACTGTGGGTTTTTCAACCACTCAGGGAGAAAGTGGCACTTACTCATATCTCTTGAAATCAAAATATAGATTTGGGCATAGCTATTCAGAATTCAGATCTGATAATGATTTAAATTGCATATCACCCTCGGTCCTAAAGGAAGATGGAGAATTCACACGGCCGCTTTAATAAAGATCCCAGGATCAAAATATTCAGAAGAATTCTATTCTTTCATAATAAAAGTCTTTGTCTCTTCGCCAGGCCTTTCTATAACGTCTGATCACACGTGGCAAGGCAAATATGATGTCTAAACCTTAAATCTAACTCTGGATCTGCCAGGCCTACCTCATAACCCGATCACATACAAATGGAAAACACGAAGGCATCGTAAAACAGATTTCTAGACCTCAAAAACTAATTACATCTATGGACTCTCGGTCTGAATCTAGACTAACACAACACTGAATCATGAATCACAAAGAGAGCACTTGACTTCACGCCATCGTGATGCTCAACTGCCGACTAATAAAACTGACTAACTCAAGACTATATGACTTGATAACAATGGCTTCTATTTAATGCAATAAAAACAACCCACGCAACTTTCCCCACCGTCCTTGCCTCAACCTCTTACTGTACTGCATTAGACAGACACGCGGCACGCTGACGAAACATCAAAGTCAAAGGACAGGAGGTGAGGTATGGAGGGAAGGAGGATTTTTTAAAAACAATAGCAATACCTACATAATAATAATAATACTGAAGATCATTTCTATAGAGCCCACTTCCATGTAAACACAAATCTAGGCGCTTTACATAAATGCATGTACAAACAATATTCACGCTCGCGACACACACACGCACACACACACACTCATACACACACACACACACATACCCACGCAAACACACAAACACATTCACGCACACATTACATGCACACATGTGCACACACATGCATGCCAAACAGACACACACACACACACATCTACTTGCTTATCACACGTGCACGCTTCCACATCGTTACGAAATGAGCACAAACACGTATATAATAAAATAATATACACAATGCAATTCGCAAAATACATAAATGGATACATAGTCATTTACATAACATTGTACTGAACATGAATCTACTGACATAAAAATGATGTCATTAAATGTGTCTTTAAAGATTTTTAAAATTTAGACTCAGATGTTGTATGTCTCAAGGGTTGGAGAAGAGAGTTCGAAACTGAGGGAGCAAGGTGGGCAAACGATTTTTCAGCTAGTTTTTTTACCCCCTTTTCTAGGAACTCTTAAAAGATACTGATCACCTGATCTTAGTGATCTAGAATGCCTTTCTTTCATCGGGAGTAGACGGAGACACCGTTGGAAGACCACTCTCACTCTGGCACTAACGGCACAGTAGGCCTAATACCCGAACGGCAATGTACCAAGCTTTTTCCGACATTGGGTACTCTCTTCCAACCAAAATCCATCTTTTCCGACCAACCCCCAAAAATATCACCTTTTTCCGACTTTGCTGGACACAATGTCAGAGTTTATCACAGTTATAGCATTAGTTACTTTTTTCATAATCTATACTGCAGAAGCTAACACAATATATTGAGACAAGCTTTGCCATACAATTTCCCTTCGTTCACAATACTTCACATCAGTAAAAAAAAAAAAAAAAAAAAAAATCCAGTGCTCACAACATTAGACATATAGAGGATCTGATTGGTGGACTTTGGAGGCATATAAAACAAGCACCCACTAAGACATACTATAATTATAAAGCAAAACTTACCTCCAACTGTTTTGAGATCTGTCCTTTTGCTAAGGACTGTCTCAGCATTAAACAAGACGACCGGAACTCTCTTACTGTACCCTGTCCACTGGACATTGAGTGACTTGCCCCTGAAATAGTGAAACAAATATATATGTGAGGCGTGCTGACAAAATGAGTTACTTTTCACAATCCAAGAATGGAGATATTATTGTCCAAAAGTCAACACTGGGGTCAGATTTATTATTTTTCAGTTGATGCTATTTTGTTCAAGTCTACCATGTCTTTTAGTATTCCATACTTACAAATTGTGCAAACTCCACGACAAAGTTGATGAATCAATTTCCATACGGTTAAAATCTGAGAAGTAACTCATTTTGTCAGCACACCTCACATATGACTTATCCTATTACTGCACAGAAAAAAAAGATAACAACCCTACAGGAATCCACACACAAAAATAGACTTCCGAGATTAACAGTCTCATTTTGTTGAAACATTTTTTAATTTTAGGAAATCAAATTATTATTTTGAGAAAAACCATAAGTCTTTTTAATACTGAGCCAAAGCCCATTAACAAAATTAATTGGAAGGATTTCAAAAGCAATTTCCGTACAAAATCTATAAGAAAAAGTCAAAACGGGAGCAACATAACATTAAAAAAATTATGACAGCCTTACGGTAATGTTTTCAGCATATTTTTAAAGAATTAAAATTTCTGCTGGTTCAATACAAAAAAATTTTGTGTGCAAAACTTATGTTCAACAAAATAGCTATCCTGAAAGTTTGTCAGCACACAGATTTGGAAAATAATTAAAGAACATTCATTTACTTTGAGTCCAGGTGATGGTCCTCCCCATCATCACTCTCATAGTCTGAGTCATGTTCACTGCGTTCATCATTGTCACTCTGCTCCGACGGGGTCATGGACCCATTGCCATCCGAATCAGCTGCTCGAGATTCTCTTGCTGCCATTTGACACTATCCATTAAATACATTCATCTATAGAAGAAGATTGGCCTGAAATGAAACACAAACAAATTACTACATAAATTTTTAAGGAGAGAGAAAAATAGAATTTTAATTTCAATAAAAGTTTTTATGAGCTCATAGAACAAATTATGCCATGGATTAAGAATTTAATATATGAACAGCTATCGGTCAACATAGTTCTTCATTAAGTCTGCATGCCCGCCAAGTAGCCTATCCAACACACCAGGCTTTAGTAGGTCATGCAGGGCCTACACAGTTAAGTCTCCAACACAGTAACAGTGCCTCACAGACATGAGCGTCTCGGGCGCTGGGCATCACCTACCTACCCCTACTCCCGATCGTGCACTCCCCTTCCCCATCCCATTCTCAGTCTGTCCCTGGCAAGTGCCACGGTCAGGGAGTCAGTGCCTCGCCTTTCCATTTTCCTCAGCAAGCGGCCATAAACAGGCCTTACGAGGCTGCTACAACAAAGTTTACGCTGGTGTGTAGTGTGTGCCTCACGTTGCTCGGTCTTTGGTACAGTAAATCTACCCCCCCCCCCCCCGCCTCTTGTTAGATTCACAGTGTAATGTGTAGTTGTGTAAGAATCAAGGGAAGCAACCAGCTTTAAAAATAGCATTGTCTTTTTTACCGCTGACCTCTCCTTGTTTTTTCCTCTTTGACTATATTTTCAGTTATTGACATTTTTACATATCGACAACAAATCCACTTCCCAAAGCATGTCTATATAAGCGGATCATACTGTACATACAATGGGTACAGATATCACAAATATGTTAGTGGTTGGCAATTGTGTTCAACTCATCCGAATTTTTCAGTAAACCGTAATAATTAAAAATTAGAGGGATACTGAAGAAAATTAAGGGAAGTAACTGTGACAGTACGGTGGTCTTTTTTTTCTGCCATCATGGAAAGTATGGCCGTATCAATAAAAGTATAGCAAGCTGGATAGGGCATGTGTCTTGTTCAAAGTTGAAGCAAGGGACAGGAAGAGAGTGATGCTGATGAGCCTTAGAACTAAAATTATGTGAGGCATGGTGGTGAAATCAGGCACTCGTCAAAATAACGAAATAGAAAATGGCATTTTTCTTCCAGTTTAGCAATTTTTACCGAAGTTTTATTTTTTTGGCTCTTCAACACCTTTTTAAGTCTATTTAAAAATACATATTGCTCTCTATGGATTTTACTGAAACACAAAGATAAAGCATAAAAATGTAAATTTACAGTTTCCAAGAACTCTTAAGCTTAGGAAGGCACCAAGGTTTAAAGGCCATTTTCTCGCTTATTTTACCCCTGAAACCAGATGACCCCGACTCCCTTCAAGCTGAAATATCAAGACTTCTATTGCAGCTAGATAGGTAATTTTTTCATTGAAAGCAAGACAAGTGAACAAGCTTCATGACGATAACAATTATAACTCTATATAAGTCCAAAAATTGCCTGATTCCACCACATTGTGACACAAATAAAGTGGCTCTTAGATCAGATCATGATGATGTAACCAACACTAGTCAGAGCAGTACCTTCCTGTTAAAAAAACCACATACGCACACAAACACAGACATGTGCACAAACACAATAATTCACACACCATATGGGTCAATGCAGTGTCTTCAATCACACCCACCACCCACCTTACAGAACTACATTTGAGGAACTTCTAGCACTTAACATCCACTACAGAGGTGATTTGTGACAATCCGTCTTAACACCAGCAGTGCGAGAGCAAGCTCAGTGGGCTCATGTAACCTGATACTGTAAATGATGGGTTCGTTTGTTTTCCATTGTGCACACAGAGCAATTTGAACAGGAGTAGGTAGTCCAAACTCAAAGGTATACTTGAGTAGAAGCTAGCTTCCTCAAAACCATCAAATGCATGTTTCTTTCCTGTTTACATTGATGATTGATACCAAGGTTTACTTTTTTCGTGAAGACAATTGAGTTTCCTTATTTTTCCTGAGTACTTTCACCCCCC